TTTTCTGCTCTATTGTGTGATTTGAGTTTGTAGTATACTCAGTCCTAGCTATTATTTCCACCAGTTTTCCATAACGGAGTAGTTGGAATTTGTCTTCATTGAACATCATATTGTTCTCTGTTGCCCACTGGAAAACTTGGTTTATATCCTCTTGGAGATTTGCAGATCCTAGTATCATCTGCAAAGGACATGGTGCAATGGTTCACATCTCTGTCTATGTCTGATATGAAAATGAGGAACAGGATAGGGTAAGTACTGTTCCTTGTGGAACAGAGCTCTTCACTATGGCAGCTTCTGATTTAACTCGTTTACCACTACTCTTTGTGTTCGATTGGTTAGAAAGTTGAAGATCCATCTGCCTACTTTGCATGTTATCCCTTTAGCATGCATTTTGTGTGCTATGACACAATGATTGCACTTATCAAAGGCTTTTGCAAAACCTGTGTATAGTACATCTGCATTCTGCTTGTTTTTCAGTGCATCTAAGACCATATCATAGTGGTCCAATAGTTGTGAGAGGCAGGAGTGGCCTGCTCTGAAATCATGTTGCCTTAGATTGTGCAACTTTTGGGAGTCCAAGTGGTTTGCAATCCTGCTTCTTAGAACTCTTTCAAAGATTTTTATGATGTGGGATGTTAAAGCTATTGGTCTATAGTTCTTAGCTACTGCTTTGCTGCCTCTTTATGGAGTGGGGCTATATCCGTTGTTTTCAGTGACTGTGGAATCTCACCTGTGTCTATGCTTCTTCTCCATGGCATACTTAGGGCCCATGAGAGGGGTTTCTTGCAGTTCTTAATGAACACAGAGTTCCCCAAGTCTGGGCCTGGGGCTGAGTGCATGGGCATATTGTCAATGGTTTTCTCAAAGTCTAGTGGAGTTTGGGTTGTGTCAGAAATTTAGAAGTAGCAAGAAGTACCTGAAAACTTGCATGTTTGAGACAGAAAAGAGACACCAGCAATCCCACCATCATGTAAAACAATTACAGGCTTCCGTTTCACACTCACTTGGTAGTACCTCCCTGGGCGGTTGCTGTTTACCAACCTACTACCTAGGTTGATTACTACTACTTTCTTTCTTTCAATGCACCAGCAGTATCCCACCGAAGAGGGGTGGCCCAAAAAGAAAAACAAAAGTTTCTCCTTTTAAATTTAGTAACATATACAGGAGAAGGGGTTACCAGCCCCTTGCATTTTAGTTACCTCTCACGACACGCATGGCTTACGGAGGAAGAATTCTGTTACACTTACCCATGGAGATAAGCAGAAATAAACAAGAATAAGAAGTTGTAAGAAAATATAAGAAAATCCAGAGGGGTGTGTATATACATGCTTGTACATGCATGTGTAGTGTGACCTCAGTGTAAGTAGTAGCAGCATGACGTACCTGAAATCTTGCCTGTTTATTAGACAGAAAGAAAAGACACCAGCAATCCTAACATCATGTAAAACAATTACAGGTTTCCATTTCACAATCACTTGGCAGGCCAATAACACTTTCCTGGGTGGCTGCTATCTACCAACCTACTACCTAGGTTGATTACTACTATATTTATAAAAATAGTGCTTTTTTTTTTTTTTACATGTCAACCATTTCCCACCGAGGCAGGGTGACCCAACAAGAAAGAAAAATAACTTTCATCATCATTCAACACTTTCACCATCGTTCATACATAATCACTGTCTTTGCAGAGATGCTCAGGTATGACAATCTAGATGTCACTCCAAACAGCCAATACCCCAAACCCCTCCTTTAAAGTGAAGGCATTGTACTTCCTATTTTGCTAGACCAGAGGCAGTAGCAATGTTCAAACATTTGAGGGAGGGAGGATAGCAGGCAACATTCATTTCACACAATGTTTCGAACTCAATGAATCACTACATTTCACACACAAACTCCTTTTCAATATTTATTATTAACCCTTTGAGGGTTCTTCCTGTAGTTCTATGGCTTTGAAGCTAGGGTCCAAGCTGTAGTACTACGTCACAAGCTCAGCTCATTCAGATAAGCTGTGAGCAGTAAATCTGGGCCAAGATATGAGAGAATGCACCTATGTGGTAAGTGTGCACCACATAAAAATCCTGCAGCATGCAGCGCATAATGAGGAAAAACGGCAACCATATTTTTGGATTAAAACAGCGACTTTGTGGTGCATTTTCGTATCATTTTTACGGTTGTATTCGCAGTTTCACAGTCTTATTTGATAGAATGGAGGATATTTTACAAAACAGAAATGATTCTGATTGGTTTAGTACTGAAAACAGATTGAAATTAAAGTCGAAGTAGCAGAAATGTTCAATTTTTGCCAATGTTCAAGAGTAAACAAATCACATCACGCAGCTGGTGGGTCTAATGTACGTTCACAAAAACGCTGATATTATTTATACAGTTATTACAATATTGCATAAGAGTAAATCTTCTATTTTTTGGTGTGAATAAAAATTCTTTATGTGAATCAAAATTCAAAATGGAATTCATCTGTAAAGCCTGGAAACATAATTAATAAACAGAGGAAATATTATTTTAGTGCCAGGAATGCCTTCATTGTTTATTCTGGACCCTATTTTGAAACTGGAATACAGTGGACCCTCGCTTAACGATCACCTCCCAATGCGACCAATTATGTAAGTGTATGTAAGTGCGTTTCTACTTCACAATACGTATTCCTTATGGGAACAAATTCGGTCAGTACTGGCACCTGAATATACTTCTGGAATGAAAAAATATCGTTAACCGGGGGTCCACTGTATTTTGAACTGTGTGAAATTGGCCAAATTACCAATTTCCAATCACTTTACTGATTAACTGAAATAGTTGACTGGGAAATTTCTTGTGCTCAATAAATAAAATGGAACACATACTAGCGAAATAGCTAAGAATTTGGTCTAATGGAACAATGTAACTGGTCGAAAATAGGACTCAGTATGCAAAACTGCCAATGCGTAAATATCGCTGACACAGCACAATTCCCATGTAATTTTGTCAGTTTTTGATAAAATTTTATACTTTTTGTTTTACTACCTTCTGAAAAAGATTCTCTACCACTTCATAAGAAAAAAATCATTTTTTTTTTTTTAAATTCTTGAACCTCGTGGGGAATTTTCAGATTGGGAGTCTGGACCCCCAAAGGGCTAATCACCATCATGTACAATTATTGTAGACTTACATCCGGAGCAAATACATCACTGAAAAAGGCTTAGGATTGTGTAATTAGTTTAATGTATGAGATGTACACCTGTGGATAATCTGTTAAACTGTTAATGCATACTGAATATGATTGTCTGTTTAGATACATATTCTACATAAGTACACAAATAACCCACACATAGGAGCTTACGATGACGTTTCGGTCCGACTTGGACCATTTACATCACACTAATCAGAAGTGGAGCAGGACGGGTATATATATAGGCAGGAAGAGGTGGTGGTAGTAAGTAGTAGTGAAGAGGGAGGGAGGGAGGGAGGGAGGGAGGGAGGGAGGGAGGGAGGGGAGGGAGGGGAGGGAGGGGAGGGAGGGAGGGGAGGGAGGGGAGGGGAGGGAGGAGGGAGGGGAGGGAGGGGAGGGAGGGGGAGGGAGGGGAGGGAGGGGAGGGAGGGAGGGGAGGGAGGGAGGGAGGGGAGGGAGGGGAGGGGAGGGAGGGAGGGGAGGGAGGGGGGGAGGGAGGGAGGGGAGGGAGGGGAGGAGGGAGGGAGGGGAGGGAGGGGAGGGAGGGGAGGGAGGGGAGGGAGGGGAGGGAGGAGGGGAGGGAGGGAGGGAGGGGAGGGAGGGGGGAGGGAGGGAGGGGAGGAGGAGGAGGGAGGAGGGAGGAGGGGAGGATAGGAGGAGGAGGAAGGAGGCGCAGCAGCAGCGGCGAATTAAGGAGGAGGAGCCAGTTCAATACAAAGAAAGGGGAGCACTGCAAGGGAGCTAGGTGCCCACAGAGGGAGAGCAAGTGCACAGAGGTGGGGGGAAGGGGAAGTTATGAAATAAATAATGAAGGAACAGAAACACGAGACAGAAGAAAGACAACCCAGAGGTGAAAAAAGGAAAGAGGAAAGGGGAAGAGGGAGAAGAAGAAAAAATGAGGAATCAGGTTAAGTCACAGATGTTCTGAAGTTTTGAGCATTTTACAATGTAGTGGGAGAGGAAGGCATCTGCAGAGACGAAGCCTTCCTCTCCCACTACATTGTAAAATGCTCCAAACTTCAGAACACCCGTGACTTAACCTGATTCCTCATTTTTTCTTCATCTCCCTCTTCCCCTTTCTTCTTTCCTTTTTTCTCCTCTGGGTTGTCTTTCTTTCTTCTGTCTCGTGTTTCTGTTCCTTCATTATTTATTTCATCACTTCCCCTTCCCCCTACCTCTGTGCACTTGCTCTCCCTCTGTGGGCACCTAGCTCCCTTGCAGTGCTCCCCTTTCTTTGTATTTGACTGGCTCCTCCTCCTAAATTCCCCACTACCACTACTACTACTACTACTACTACTACCACCACTACTACCACCACCACTACCTCTTCCTGCCTATATATACCCGTCCTGCTCCACTTCTGGTTAGTGTGACTTTGTAAATGGTCCAAGTCGGACCGAAACGTCGTCGTAAGCTCCTCTCTTCTATGTGCGGGTTATTTGTGTATCGTTCCAGTCACGGTATTGTGCCTTTTTTGTTATTTATCTACATAAGTAGTGTGTGTGTGGGTGTGTGTTTGTGATAGAAGTAAAGAAAATGTTAGAAGAGGTGTCTGACAGACATGACTAAGAGGGTTGAGGCAGAGATTTGGTTCTGGGCCACAGCACCTGTCCACCTGACCGTACAGTGAGATTGAAAAACTATCCCTTGTACAAATGTTTTGTAAGTTAGCTAATTTTTTGAAGATTATTGCAAGTAATAATCTGGTTTGAATTTTGGGTTACAGCTTTTAGTGTGTAAAAACCAAATCGAGCAAAGGCCATGTGATGGGGGGGGGGGGATTGTTCTACTTAAAATCCAAGCTCTAAATATCATCTTTTCAGCACAATTATTTTACCTTTTTCAAAAGAGGTGCTCGATCTGATACATCAGAACTGGCCCTAGTCAATGATGTTGACTGATCATGGTCATCTGATGGCTTGTAAGGTGTTACTATTTGTTTGGGAAGCTGATGGTACTGTGGATGAATAAGAATATTATAATCATTATTAAATTAGAAATAAAGTTTGCTGATATTTAATAACAATTATTTGATCTATTACCATAAATCATAAAAATATATAAACTTTTTGAAGTAATCTAACATGCAAAATTGGCTTTTGCAAATAATTTATGACAAGCTGAATGACTAAAATAAAATTAATCTGAAAATGCATTAGATTTTCAATATTTCTTCTTATTCACTGTCAAGTTTTATGATGAGCTAGCCACAGCTAACCAGCAACACAAGAACTAATGCATGCCATCACTTGGTTATACAATACAACAAATTATTACAAGGTGTACAGTACCCTTGTAGCTAGGTAAGGCCAATTTACTTTAGTCCTAATATTCTGTTCTACAGCAAAATTAAAAAAATGCGAATGTAAACATTATCCCATGCAACAGCTCCTCCTCATGGCATGTATTATATAATATCTTATCCACTCAATATACTTGAAAATGTAACTACTGTACTTGCAGCCCTAAACATGTAGTACAAATATACAGCGAGCCTTCATATGCATAAAGGAAACAGGCGTGCATTAAAAAATTGATGTAGAATCCATATACATTAGGTGGAAGAATTATGTCTGGGAAGAAGCATACTGGGACATGTCAATACATGATATCCAAAGTGGCAAATAAAACATACAAAATGAACCCCACTAATTGCTATTAAGATATAGACTATACTGCACAAAATATGAATATAAAATAAATAAATAAATAAATAAATAATACACACACAACACACACACACACACTATGAGTTTATTTTGGCACAAAATGCTTAGATCAATTTCTTTTTACTTACTGTACTGTGTATTTTCAGATACCATTTATAAATAAATAAGTTATAATAAATAAGTTGCTTCTCTCTATCAATATTCTTTGTTTATAATGGTAAAACTACAGGAATGGCAATTTCAGTTTTTACTAAAAAAAATTACAATTAGCATAACTTGACATAACCAGGAATTCAGCTTGTGAGATAAGGGGTTGCATATAATTAATATTTTAGCATTTTCAGTGTTAGACAAAATTATCATTAAGGTAACATTCATTATCTTACTGTTAGTATGTTAGCATGCCAACAATTCTGAGAGCTACATGCCAGTGATCAGCTGAATGATACTTTAAAGATTCAAGGCCAATTTCCTATCATGGGCTGGGTTCACAGCAACAGCATTCTGTTCTTTTTATTTAGCTTGTTTGTATATGATTTTTATACAGCATGTGTCCTATGTTCATATTTTTTGGTACAAATCAGTCATGAAATGTGGACTTTGTAATGATGGTCATTTACTCTTTTCTGCTTGGTGCATGACATCTTTACTGGAAGTTAACCATAAGAATTTTCTCAAAACATGTTTGTTGCATTTTCTGTGTCCAAAATATTTTTTCCTGAACGCTCTTTCTTGTGAAAATTATTTTGAATGAAATTAGAATGTTTAAAGAGATATAGGCAAATAACAAATAAAAAACTTTAATCAGCTATGGACCTTTGTAAAAACTGCCTCTGTCTACAGTATTTCTTACCCTTAGTTTTCTTTTTATTCACTGCTTATGAAAACGAATCTAAATGGTTCTTAAAAATAAATAATGCATGTTAAATACAAAATTCTATTATGTTTTAAATTCATATGTTCAATGTTTCCTATTATTTACAGCTCAGCACTCATAACAGTCTTGATGTTCTTGATCATCAACAAATGGTTAATTCCAAAAAGACTGTTTTACAGTATCAACAAAGGGATGGATTAAAATTCATATTAATGCTGAGTATATGCCAACTACCTTCATTCAATCAAGAGTAAATATACGTCTCCTATTTTAATTACGCGATTTATGTTATGAGAGTTACTGCAAACGAAAAATACCCATATCATACCTATCACCAAATCCCACTGTGGTAGGAGTACTAGTCTAATTAAAAACAAAACACACTATGACCTTATCAAGCTTTTTTTGAACAAATCTGCCATCCTGGACCTTATCTCCGAGGAAGGAGACATCGCCAAAATATGCTCCATCCAGTCCTACATGTCCAGTGTGCTTAAAATCTCCCTGAGGTCCTGAAATCATCTCTGGCCTCAATCGTCGCCGTGAAGAATATGGGTTCTTGCCATCTGTTGGTTAAAAAATAATATGACATATATAAACACACACACACGCACACATACAATTAGTGATTGGAACACAAATAAATATTACTGGTGACAGTTATACGTACCAATAATCAAGAAAATGTTTCAGGTTTCAAAATTACTACTCTAGAGAAGGTCAGTAAGTTTTTCTTCAGTGTGTCGTGATAACAACCAACTAGATTAATGTTCTAAGTTTTACAGGAAATATATACAAAACAGAAGAAAGCACACAGCACTTAACTTACAATCATAATACCGCAAAGATAAATAAACATGCATGCACTTACTTGCAACCACAAACAGGAATGTACTCAAGAGAGTGGAGAGCATTAAGACTGAAGGGAATGAGTTATAAAGAAAGAGTTTAGGAAGTAGGCCATAATCTCACTGGAAGAGATAAGAACAAGAGAGAATATGATCCTGACATATACAGTACTATGCCAGGAGCAAGGGGCTAGTAACCCCTTCTCCTGTACAAATTACTAAATTTAAAAACTTTCATTTTTCTTTTTGGACCACCCTGCCTTGGTGGGATATGGCCGGTTTGTTGAAAAAAAAAAAATATACAATACTATGGGTAGACATGGATAAGCTCTTTACTGTACTAGGGATGTAACTAGGACAAGGAAGCATGGCTAGATATTATATACTAAAATGAACCAGAGAGATATTAGGAAGTATTTCTTCAAAGTAAGAATGGTAAATAAGTGGAATGAGCTAAGCAATGACACTTTGGAAGTGAACCCCCATATAGGGGGTTAAAAAAATAGGCTAATTCATGTTAAAAATTTAAAAGCTTAACTCCTTGCAAAACTGAAAATGTAATTACTACAGAACTCAAGTTCCCATTGGCAAGTGGCATTGGTTAAATGTTAGCAGATACATCTGGCAGATACCTACAGGTTACTGTTATTTCTTATTCTGCCACTAACTAAAGTTTCTTGCCATTCTAGTGCAATCACTTCACACACTATATAAATGTTTATAACTGGGTTAGCCTAAACATACTTGCCTAGTTTCCTTTGTCACGAACTGCAAACTTGAATCATCCTTTCTTTTGACTGCATTTCTTTAGTGTGAATTTAGCTCAATACACTAGTCCTCCTGTATCCGCAGGGGATACGTTCTAAGACCTTTTTTATTTACATACTTTTTTTTTTTAACACATCGACCACCTCCCACCGAGGCAGGATGACTCTAAAGAGAAACACTTTCACCATCATTCATACATAATCACTCTGCACAGGTATTCAGATATGACAGTTTAGATGTCACTCCAAACAGCCAATATCCTATACATATACACATACCTATGATAAAGTTCAATCGATAAATTATGCAAAAAAAAAAGTCTAGAATTAGCACTTTTTCACTTATGAGAAACTTTTCATGGCTTCTCTTAGGCTCTGAAGAAGTGACAGCATTACTACTTTTGTGCTTTGGGGCCATTATTAAGCAAAATTAAGGGTTATTTGTGGGCTATAGTAAACAGTGGATAACTGAATCCACAGATACTGAATCTGCTGATACAGAGGTTCTACTGTATAAATATATTTACATAAGTGAGCAGGCACTAAGAAGAAAATACTGGAATGTAATCATTTATATTTATTTAATTACTAAGAAAATTATTGACTTTGCTTTACCTCCTCTTTGGAAAGATGATTTATTGGAGGGTATATTAGTGCCCAGGTAAGTAACTGTATTGGCCGGGTTGAAGTGTCCTGTCTTGCCTGTGTTCAACACTCCTTTCCAGACTGATGGGTTGTCAGACATGGGTCTAGGATAAGAAACAACAATTAATAATTCCATGAATTCTACCAAGAGTACTGATGAACAGTGCTCAAAAGATTTGTGTGTCATTATAATTTTGTGTGGCTACAATAGCCACATTCAGTACATCCCTTCTTCGTTTTAGAGCACACTGACTCACAACCTCAAATAAGAAATAACAAATGGGTATTCACACCATTTTCTCAACCCAACCACTGATCAAAAATTCTACAATTCACCTACAGCTTGTTACACATTTTCAAGTATAGGAGCATGTTCATATCTATCTCAAAATTTTCAGTTTACATACATCCTGTTAAATATTTTAAATTACAGCAGCATGTTCAAGTTTTTCAAAATTTCTCATTCACATATATCTCATGACACATTTTCAATTATTGTAATCTCACCGATGTATCACTTTTCCTTTTACTCCTGCTTTTCTTGATGTGTTGCTTTAACAGCACAACAAAAGCAATTTTTTTCTTCCTATCAACAGCTGCCCTCCAACAGCTTAGAATTATTTCCAATCTCCTTTTTTATTTTAAGAGTAATGTTAGCCTTAGTTTTCATTTCCTGAGCTATTAATTAATAACTGCTGTTCTATTTCTATTAATTCTTTAGTTATTTTAACATACTTATTCTATTTTAGCTTTATACTCTAAGCTCCTACTCATAAATATGCAAGATTACAGGTAGGTCTTTTTACCTCTACTTACACTTAGGTCACACTACAAATACACGTACACGTTTATTTATACACACTCACCTGAGTTTTCTTTGATTTTATCTTTATAGTTCTTATTACTTTTTCCTTTTATATCCATGGGGAAGTGGAATAAGAATCTTCCCTCTGTAAGCCATGTGTGTTGTAAAAGTCAACTAAAATGCCAAGAACAATGGGCTAGTAACCCCTTTTCCTGTACAGATTACTAAAAATAAGAAGAAAATTGTCAAAGTGGGATGTCCGAATGTGCGTGGATGTTGTGCGAATGATAAGAAAGAGATGATTGTGGATGTTATGGATGAGAAGAAGCTGGATGTCCTGGCTTTAAGTGAAACAAAGCTGAAGGGGGTGGGAGAGTTTCAATGGAGAGAAGTAAATGGTATTAGGTCAGGGGTTTCAAATAGAGTTAGAGCTAAAAAAGAAGTAGCAATAATGTTGAAGGATAAGCTATGGCAGGAAAAGAGGGACTATAAATGTATTAATTCAAGAATTATATAGAGTAAAATAAAGGTTGGATGTGAAAAGTGGGTTATAGTAAGCGTATATGCACCTGGAGAAGAGAGAAGTGTAGAGAGAGAGAGAGAGAGAGAGAGGTTTTGGGAAATGTTGAGTGTGTGGGGAGTTTTGAACCAAGTGTGAGAGTACTTGTGGTTGGGGATTTCAATGCTAAAAAAATGTTGTGGAGGGAGTAGTAGGTAAATTTGGGGTGCCAGGGGTAAATGAAAATGGGGAGCCTTTAATTGAGTTATGTGTAGAAAGAGATTTGGTAATAAGTAATACATATTTTATGAAAAAGAGGATAAATAAATATACAAGGTATGATATAGCATGTAATGAAAGTAGTTTGTTAGATTATATATTGGTGGATAAAAGGTTGATGGGTAGGCTTCAAGATGTACATGTTTATAGAGGGGCAACTGATATATAGGATCATTACTGAGTTGTAGCTACAGTTAGAGTAAGAGGTAGATAGGACAAAAGGAAAATGGCAACAAGTTGGCAACAAGTAAGAGAGAGGTGAAAGTGTATAAACTAAGGGAGGAAGAAGTTCAGGTGAGATATAAGCAACTATTGGCAGAAAGGTAGGTTAGTGCAAGTATGAGTAGTGTGTGTGTGTGTGTGTGTGTGGGGGGGGGGGGGGGTGTTGAAGAGGGTTGGAATAGTTTTAAAAATGCAGTATTAGAATGTGGGGTAGAAGTTTGTGGCTATAGGAGAAAGGGTACAGGAGGAAAGAGGAGTGATTGGTGGAATAAAGTAAAGGGTGTGATAAAAGAGAAAAAGGTCGCTTATGAGAGGTTTTTACAAAGCAGAAGTGTTATAAGAAGAGCAGAGTATATGGAGAGTAAAAGAAAAGTGAAGAGAGTGGTGAGAGAGTGTAAAAGGAGAGCAGATGATAGAATTGGAGAGGCACTGTCAAGAAATTTTGATGAAAATAAGAAAAAAATTTGGAGTGAGATAAACAAGTTAAGAAAGCCTAAGGAACGAATGGATTTGTCAGTTAAAAACAGAGTAGGGGAGTACTAGATGGGGAGATGGAGGTATTGGGTAGATGGCGGGAATATTTTGAGGAACTTTTAAATGTCGATGAAGAAAGGGAGGCAGTAATTTCATGCGCTGGCCAGGGAGGTATACCATGTTTTACGAGTGAAGATGAGCAGTATGTGAGTATGGGGAGGTGCGTGAGGCATTACATAGAATGAAAGTGGGTAAAGCAGCTGGAACTGACGGGATCATGACAGAAATGTTAAAAACAGGGGGGATACAGTGTTGGAGTGGTTGGTATTTTTGTTTAATAAATGTATGAAAGAGGGGAAGGTACCTAGGGATTGGCAGAGAGCATGTACCGTATAATTCCTTTATATAAAGGGAAGGAGGACAAAAGAGATTGTAAAAATTATAGAGGAATAAGTTTACCGAGTATACCAGGAAAAGTGTATGGTAGGGTTATTATTGAAACAAATAGAGGCAAGACAGAATGTAGGATTGCGGATGAGCAAGGAGGTTTTAGAGTGGGTAGGGGATGTGTAGATCAAGTGTTTACATTGAAGCATACATCATCTTCTTCTTTCAACAAACCGGCCGTATCCCACCAAGGCAGAGTGGCCCAAAAAGAAAAATGAGAGTTTCTCTTTTAAATTTAGTAATTTATACAGGAGAAGGGGTCACTAGCCCTTTGCTCCCGGCATTTTAGTTGCCTGAAGCATATATATGAACAGTATTTAAATAAAGGTAGGGAAGTTTTCACTCCATTTATGGATTTAGAAAAAGACATATGATAGAGTGGATAGGGGAGCGATGTGGCAGATGTTGCAAGTACAGTGGAACCTCAGCTTACGAACGCCCCACCATGCGAATTTTTCAGGATACGAACCGTTGTTCGGACGATTTTTTGCTTCTGTATATGAACGAAAATTCAGGGTGCGAACTTCCCCATCAAGTGGGGTTCCTTAAAAAAATACAATATTTATTTCTTTGCAAAGCCTCTATTGTGCTGAGGCATTTCGGACAGACTTACCCTAATACTAATAGACTACTTAAGTCTAGACAGGTGAAAAGTGAACTAGTCGTGGTTACCAATGTTTTGCTGATGGTGGCGCCAACTACTGGCTGCCGTTTGAAGTTTCTCCTTACTGTTATTATTATTATTACTATTATATTGTATTACAGTGGGCCCCTGGTTTACGATCAGCTCCCAATGCGACCAATAATGTAAGTGCGTTTGTATGTGTATGTTTGGGGTCTGAAATGGACTAATCTAATTCACAATATTCCTTATGGGAACAAATTCGGTCAGTACTGGTACCTGAACATACTTCTGGAATGAAATAATATTGTAAACCGGGGGTCCACTGTATAAATATTATTGTTATTATAATAATAATGATTATTAATATTATTATTATTAGTAGTAGTAGTCCATACATGGTGAGGGGCTCTTGATCTAGGGAATTGGATCTGTGCTCTAGGTCCCTAAGATAATACTAAGATAATAATAATGATAATAATTATTATAATTATTATATTGTCACCATGGTTGTTTAATATATTTATAGAGGGGGTTGTAAAAGAAGTAAATGCTAGGGTGTTTGGGAGAGGGGTGGGATTAAATTATGGGGAATCAAATACAAAATGGGAATAGACACAGTTACTTTTTGCTGAGGATACTGTGCTTATGGGAGATTCTAAAGAAAAATTGCAAAAGTTAGTGGATGAGTTTGGGAGTGTGTGTAAAGGTAGAAAGTTTAAAGTGAACATAGAAAAGAGTAAGGTAATGAGGGTATCAAATGATTTAGATAAAGAAAAATTGGATATCAAATTGGGAAGGAGGAGGAGTATGGAAGAAGTGAATGTTTTCAGATACTTGGGAGTTGACGTGTCAGCGGATGGATTTATGAAGGATGAGGTTAATCATAGAATTGATTAGTCAAAAAACATTATCTATGGAGGCAAAGAAGGGAATGTATGAAAGTACAGTAGTACCAACACTCTTATATGGGCGCGAAACTTGGGTTGTGAATGCAGCAGCAAGGAAGTGGTTGGAGGCAGTGGAGATGTCCTGTCTAAGGGCAATGTGTGGTGTAAATATCAGGCAGAAAATTCAGAGTGTGGAAACTAGGAGGTGTGGAGTTAATAAAAATATTAGTCAGAGGGCTGAAGAGGGGTTGTTGAGGTGGTTTGGTCATTTAGAGACAATGGATCAAAGTAGAATGACATGGAGAGCATTTAAATCTGTAGGAGAAGGAAGGTGGGGTAGGGGTCATCCTTGAAAAGGTTGGAAGGAAGGGGTAAGGGAGGTTTTGTGAGCGAGGGGCTTGGACTTCCAGCAGGCGTGCATGAGCGTGTTCGATAGGAGTGAATGGAGACGAATGGTATTTAGGACCTGACGATCTGTTGGAGTGTGAGCAGGGTAATATTTAGTGAAGGGATTCAGGGAAACCGGTTATTTTTATATAGCCGAACTTGAGTCCTGGAAATGGGAAGTACAATGCCTGCACTCTAAAGGAGGGGTTCGGGATATTAGCAGTTTGGAGGGATATGTTGTGTATCTTTATATGTATATGCTTCTAAACTGTTGTGTTCTGAGCACCTCTACAAAAACAGTGATTATGTGTGAGTGAGGTGAAAGCATTTTCTCTTTGGGGATTTTCTTTCTTTTTGGGTCACCCTGCCTCGGTGGAAGACGGCCGACTTGTTGGAAAAAAAAAATTATTATAATAATTATACATATGTAGTACTAATAATAATGATAATACATAATTACGTATACAGTAGGGCCCCGC